CGTGATCCCCCCGCCACCAGCCCAAGGAGGATCAAAGGGAGGATCATGAAAACGTCAAAGCAACACTTTGCACAGCACGGAGACTCCAGACGGATCAGCGAAAGGGCTTTCATCCGAGAAGGTGCCCTGCTCTTACGCCTGACGTAGTGCAGGGTGGAAAGCAAGGCTATTTCCTAGCACGACTTCCACTTAAATGACTTTTTTCCTTCCTGCTGCTCCCTCCCCAAATGGAGCTGCTTCAAATGCCGGCCAGGGACACCCAGCGAGGGACGGAGCCAGCCTGATACTGGCAGCCAGGCTCTAGGAGAAGGGCTCACCGCTCACGGGGGGCCCTCAGTTTGAGCATGTTTGGGTTCAGAGACACATCACACGCAGTGTCAGACCTCACTCTGCCTGATAAAAAGACGTGTTTGCTACGGAAAGTGTTCCCTGGGGTTTTCTCAACAGGCAACAGGCAATTACAGGCTATTGTAACTGACTCAGCACCAACAAAATAGCCAAAGCAGGGCTTAGAAGTCTCCGTGTGAAGCAGACTGAAAGTGGTTGACAGCTCTGGGGCAGGAAGGTTTCATATGCGAGGCCACTTCAGACATCTCTTTCCTAAGCTCTTAAAGCCTTAATGTTACATTTCAGGCCAGCGAGCAGAGAGTTAATAGACGTTAGCCAGCTTGCCATCATCCCGTGTAAGTAAATAAGCAAATACAAATCCATCTCCCATCGGAGGCTGTAAAAACCCCGTGTCATGGAAAGGCCACTGATGTTTTTGCGAAGTATGATCTTATCAAGAATAACTAGTTGTCATAAAAATTTGCTCTTCCCCATGTAACAACAGAGGTTTGTTTCTAAAAAAGGGGCAGAGGCAAAGCAAGTTTAGCACACCCTCCTGCGACAGGGCTCAGACCCTCCTGCCTTGGGGCACGTGGGTGGCAAAGACCTGGGTACAGGCACCCCAAGGAGGTGTCCAAGGGCCAGGTCACCAGCTCGGGGCTGGGAGCGCGGCATGCGAACCACTCCAGCACAGCTTTGAGTGGTGGTGGGCACTCCAGCACCGCTCCTGAAAACAGCCTCCGCTTCTGCACCTACACTTCAGCCTGGTTCAGCCCCTGGCTACGCTCCTGACGTGCTTGGGGAGACCCTGATGCCCCATACCGTGGAAAAACGTTTGTAAAGAGTTGAGAGAAAAAAAAAAAAAAGAGATCAGTAACTCACTTGTTTTTGTTCTTCTCCCAAACTGTCCCACATTGACGCAACAATTTTCGATACGTCTCCGAAGGTAGCGTTGGGGTTTTGCCCTTTGATGGCTGCTTGCGTGTCTCTGAAAAACAGGGCGTAGGCTGACACGGGCTTCTGGGGCTCGTTGGGATCCTTCTTTTTCTTCTTCTTTTGGCTTTTGGGCTTTTTGCCCAGGTCTGTTGATGGTCTTTTCTCTCCAGTAACCTGCAAAACCAAGAGATGTCCCATACTGGTTAGCTGGGAGTAGACAGATACGAGTCCCGGCTACAGCTTGTTAGCAAAGGGGACGAGCGAGGGCACGGGCAGAGGAGGGGTCCCAGTGTGGCGTGGAGGGCAGCAGCCCTGGGAATCTCTTTGGCCCCCAGAAGCCTCCAGGGTCACTGCTGGTGGGTGCCTGAGCCTGGCTCAGATGCCTCCTCAACAGCTCGGTTCACAGCTTGGGTTTGTGCCTTGCTGCTCTGGTGGTCCCTGCTCCAACGCTGGGGCTTTCCAGTCACTCAACCTCAGTCACCCCCCTTCCACCTGCTCCTCCCCAGCATCACACTCTCTGTCTCTCCTCGATCGTCTTCCGAGGCCTCTCTGAACACCTTGCTTCCCAGCCAGATCCCTTCAGCAGTCCACGAATTTTTCCAGACTCAGCTTCCATACGGTTTCTGACTTCCAGCCCAACAATGCTCCTCTGCAAGCTGCTTCTGACCTTTCTCGCCCACACGTGTGCCGGCGGCTCAGCCTCCCTGCTCCCAAGGCAGGAGGGCCACCAGCACCAGCCGAGCGGCACCAGCATCGCATTAGGCATCACACTGGGACCATCCAAAATTTGTTTCACCCTACTAAGAGGTATCTACCCCTATCCACGAAAAATATCCAGGAACGAAACTCTTTTCTAGGTCTGGCTGTGTCCACACTCAGTGCTCCAACCAAGGGGAGCAGGACACGGGCAACAGCAGCTGGACTTTGCAGCTGCACAGCACGAGACACTGCCAGCAGGCTGGGAAGTAAAGCACCAAGGCTAGAAATAGGGACGCTTCCAGGGAAGGCAGCACAGAAAGAAAGATCCTACGGCCGAGCCTCCACCGGGATGCCCTGGGCAGCGTGTTGACGTGTGTGATGGTGTGCAAAGGAGAAGACCCCTGGAAAGTACTTGGACACACCCCAAAGTTCTCAATGCATTAAATGTGAAAGCTCTCACCACAGGGAAGCACCATGATCCTTATTTTATAGCAGAGGAAAAACTAAACACACCAGAGGTTAAACACGGCAGAGGATAAAACCGTTTGCTGCCAGCTGGCTGCTGCAGTCTGGATCTCTGCGTTGTCGAGGGCAAACAGGGCACCGGCACCTCTGCCCGCAGACCTGCCCGCTCAGGCACCGAGCGCTCGGACACGACGCGACCGGCAGTCCCTGCTCTACCACCTGCACGGGCTAATTATCTTACTTCGAAAGTTGCCTGGTCTGTCACTTAGAGGTCTAAAAAAATAGTTGGAAAAAAAATCAACTGACACAGGTCTGAACACCAAACTTTTGCAAAAACTGTGCCTCACAGTGAGCACTTGGAGCGAAAGGCCTTTTCTCCTGATGGATTCGCTGATTTGACCGCACGTTTGGCAGCGCCGGGATTTCAGAGGCTTCACTGCAGCTGGCACAGGGCAGGCAGGGGGGGGAAAGGGCAGCAGCGCTCCTGTTCTCCGCTCAGCAGCTCTTGACTGGTCATTAAGTTCAGTATTAGCGCAGTGACATTTGTCAAACAGACAGTGACCATTAGTGAATGAGCAGAGAGACCAAAAAAATTGCATTTAATTTAAAATTGCCCAATTGGGCTTGAATGGGAGGCCTGGAGGTGAAAGGCCAGCTTATTAGGAGAAAAAAAAAATGCATGAGAGGGTTTCAGGCCATTGGCAAGTGAGATGGTATTTTAACTAACTGTAATCCTGTTTGATTCACTTCAGTGACGTGGGAGGGACCTGCTCCCCTCGGAGCCGCTGACCAAGCCCAGGAGCTGGGAACCGGCGCAACGCAAGCACAGCCATGACGATGGTTTCGCAGTCGGTCCTGCTCAGGCAGCACCAAAGAGCAAACGGTATTTACGGAAAACAGCCGCTGCCTGCGGGGCTGACTGGAGCTGGCAGTTCCCAGGAGGAAGCGGAGCAGATCGGGACTTTGCCTGCTTTTCCTGGGGTTTACCAGGTGTGATGAGCACAGGCTGGGACAACAGCCCAGCCCTGGACTGCAGAAGATGCTTGAACATCCTAAGCCATGTTCAGAGCTAAAGGCAAGCCCCGGCGAGGCAGCGCCTCGCTGCCCAGAGCGGCTGCATCCCCCAAGGGGTGAGCCACAGTCAAGGCGACCGCGAAGGCTCATGCAGCGGGGTGAAGTGCATGGCCACCAGCTCCTGCATGGACCTGCTCTGGAGCAGGAGAAGAAGGAATGCGCAACACCAGGTGCGGACTGGGGCAGTCCACCAGTGGCAGAGGTGATCCCATGAACTGGTGGCTTGGTGCCTTCTTAGATGTTAAACCTGTGAAGAGCAGGAACCTCATGGACACAACAATTTTAATAACTATGGGGGGAAATCACTAATCCAGCTGGAATCTGGGCTGTAACTACCTCTCTCTCCCATGCATGTGTACATCACCCCGAAGCAATGAAGCAGGTAAATGCATCAGTGAGGATGGGAAAACTCCTAAAATCCTAAGATCCCTGGCTCTGAGGACCTGGTGGACCTGAACTACCTGCTGGCATCAGACCCATTTCTTTAATGTCTGACCTTCTTGGTCACAAGATTAATTTCTGCTTGTTAGATGTCGCTTTGATGACTTGTTGCAGAAAGGACCTTAATTGCCAAACTAAAAATGACCGATGGGTGAATACAACAGCTGTGGAGATAGAGAAAGCAAACAGAAACCTGCAGGCTGCAATGTGCTTCTGCTGCTTTCTTTACACTTGCGGTCTCCTTCCTCCATCAGATACATCCCTCCTGTTCTGCCTGGCTTGCCGGGCAGTTTGCAGGGCAGAAAAATGAGGGGGCATGCCTTTGGGATTAGGAAAAATTCAGATCTCTGCAAGTTGTCATCATTTGGACATCTCCAAATTCCTCCTACCCCAACAGGCATCAGTGGCTCAACGAGATCAGAAGACCCAACCCCAAAGCTGTGTCCTCCCAGTGACTCCTGTGGCCCCCGCCAGCCGGGAGGAAAGCTGGGTGATGCTGAAAGAGGCAGAGAGAGAATCTGGTGCGTAGCTAAGCTGAAACTCATTTTCCGCTGACATGAAAGATTTCAGCTCCCACGTAATTGCCTGGAGATGTGTGACATGGGCTCTGGGAGACGGCAGACCGTGGGGTCCAGCGGCACAGCTCGTCCCACAGTGTCCCCAAAATGTGGACTCGTGGAGTTTGAGAAACTCCATCTATTTTCAATGACCTTCTTTTTACAGTTTTATTCCACTGAAGCTCAGTGTTTGCATCCATGTGTGCACTCTGCTTTGAAATGTCCCGATCCGAAGTGAAAGCTGCTAATGGCTGAAAAACTACAGGATTGATGGGAACACATTTGCCTGGATTTCCACAGAAAGGGAAAGGGTTTTCCTCAGTCCTAGCATTTTCCTGGTTTTCCAGACTCCACACTGTTTGTTGCTCTGGTAATACATTCAGATCTTGTCACAACCACCTATTATTAGGGGACAAGGTTACAATACCTTGTTAGCGGCTGAGGGAATTGGGGTTGTTTAGTCTGGAGAAGAGGAAGCTGAGGGAAGACCTTATCGCTCTCTATAATTACCTGAAAGGAGGTTGAAGTGAGGCGGGTGTTGGTCTCTCCTCCCAAGTAACTAGCGATAAGAAGTAATGGCCTCAAGTTGTGCCAAAGGAGGTTTAGATTGGATATTAGGAAAAGTTTCCTTATTGCAAGAGTGGTCAAGCATTGGAACAGGCTGCCCAGGGCAGGGGTGGAGTCATCATCCCTAGAGTTGTTCAAAAAACACGTATATGTGGCACTTGGGGACACGGTTTATCAGGCATGGTGGTGATCGGTTGGTGGTTGGACTTGATGATCTTAAAGGTCTTTTCCAACCTTAATGATTCCATGAGTCTATGATTTTATGAATACCAGTGCTGCTGGTGTCACCTTCCAGGAGCCGGTTCTCCATGAAAGGCTTGAATCATGTTTCCCAGGGAACCCAGTGATTGACCTGCAGGCATGGAGACCCACCGGGTGTTCACGCAGCATCCCTGTGATTGCTACAATTTGTCCTCAGTAAACAGCGGACGGAAGACTCGCAGAACACAGCTTGCAGAGTTTGCTTTGCTGGTGCATTTTGAAAAAAGATGGGCAATAACCAAGATGCCCTAAAAGCCCTAGGAAAACCTTCGGCTTCTTGATGCCAACACAGCAGTTGTGTTGGCTGTGGAGGCAGGCTCTGTGTCACTAAGACATTGCTGACTAGCTAAAACACTGCCCAGACGAACTAAAATGCAGAAGATTCTTCCTCTTTTGATTTCTGCTTTTTCTCCTTAGCAAGCCATGCCCGCTGAGCTCAGTGAAATCCCACCCTGCGCTGTTTTCCTTCCCTGTCCTCTACCTGCCACCATAACTCTAATTTTGTACCCAAGCAACTGCAGAACCTTAGCCCTGAACCTGCTTTGCTCATCATAACCCTCATCAGAGGAAACTCTGCAGCTTGGTGGACCTGCTAAACCATGAAGAGAAAAGCCCAACTCTCATTGCCAAAGCTGCCGCATGCGCAACCCAAAAAAAATGTGCTAGACTGCCATGCTGTACCTCACCCTAGGTGGGAAACAATCTCCCCATCCTTGGGAAAGTCTCCCACTATATATACATATTTAAAAAATAGAAGACCAAAAGTCTGTGTTCGTATTTAGCGCAATTTATTCCTCACCGAAAAAAATCATCTGCCGTTCTCTCGCTGTCTGTTATAAACAGGCATGACTGCACGTACCTTATAATGTGATTCTGTCTCCTCTTCCTGAGTAGAACTGGAGGGAGATGGTGTAGCAGATTTGCTTCCCGGGGGCGATGGGGAACCGTGGGTAACACTGCTCCGCATCCCCATCTGAGAAATCAGCTGTGACTGGCTGAGAGCGCTCATGGGGCCGGCTAACATCCCGGGGCGACTGAGCAGGGGCACTTGACGGTTGGACTCATAGGACGTGGCGTCCGAGTGGACCATCTCCTGGATCTGAGTTAGGAGAATATCACTTTGTAATTAAAAAGGTATTTATTTCTTCATCATACTGTCAAATCACTTTATGATGAACCCTTACGGACTGATTTAAAATTATTCCGCCCAGCCAGTAAAGCCTTCCTCGTACCCCCTTCCAAACAAGCCAAGAGCAAGAAACCAGCACCGTGCACCCAGGGCCCTGCTCCTGCTATCGCCCTGCCACAGGCACTACAGAAAGGTGCTAAATTGTGTTTGTACACATGTCTGTGTGTCCAGGAGGTGCCCCTGCCTGCCTCAGGGACCAGCCTTGCCTGGTACCTATCAGGGGTCTGAAAGAAAAGTTCAGAAATGAGCAATTTTTGGCCAGATGACCAGGAGAAGCAAGGGTGTTTCAATGTCCTAGGCACTGGCGGGGCCAAGCCTTGCTGCTGCACACGCAAGGCCATCGCTGAGCACCGGCACGGGTTGTGCCAGGGCATTTGGGGCCCATGGCTGGCAGTCCAGCCCTGGTACGTCAGCGGTGCAGCGCTGGAGGCCGTAGATCCCAACGTGCTCCTTCTGAGCAATGCTTGGTGTTGAAATTTAGTAACTGCACAGATGAAAAAACCTCTGCTTGTCTGAGTTTCTGAAGGTACCACAACCAACCCTTCCGCACCATCTGTACGGATGTTGGCTCGCTAGTGCTACTGGGGTTAAACCTAGAACTAGAAGCACAAGAGCAGTCTGTGGAAGCCCCAGGCCCCGCTCCCACCACACCGGTCTGCCCAAAGCTGTGACACTACCATCATGCCAGAGGTTTGTACGTCCCCAAGCCCCAGAGGCAGTGAGCACTACGGCTCTGGTGGTGGCCACCACTGCATTGCAAGTCCTCCACGAGATGACTCTTTTGGTTTAAACACTGTAATCAGTTCTGATCCCACTCCAAATGAATGTAGCAGAAACAAAAAAAAAGTCCAGATAAGGGCAAAACAATTTATTGGCTGCCTGTTAAGATTTCCCAGCAACGGCAGGAACCAAAAGCGATGCATGTGTGTGCATGCGTAAGAGATGAAAGAGGTGGCTACGTGATAGAGTTCTCCCCCCAAAATAAAGAGTTTCCTAATACCTATTTATCTGTTCTCATAACATGAGAGCGAGAGGACATCTGATGGGACTGAAGGGCGGCTAATCACACGTGGCTGCAGGGACACACGGACACGGCACCGGCCATCGGCACCAGCGCTGCCTCCCGAGGCTGCTGAGCCCAACAGCCTTGAAAGACTTGAAAGAAAAATGAAACATATATATATGGCTAATAAGAAATGTCGAATGCTATATTAGACAACAGAAGAATATCTTGTGGAGTGTCTATCCTCCTGTGACATGGCATAAACCGAAGTTCAAGGGGTCAGGCAGGAGCAGCAACAACCTCCTGTCCTGGCCAAGGAGGGAAGATGAGATGAGATGGGGACAAACCCGGCCACGCTGTAGGTGCACGGAAGGTTTTGGGGCTGCCCTGCTGTCTGCTGAGCCAAGACCCCATTCCCAGTTCGTACCATTTTCCCTGAAAAACCCATTTACAGCCCAGGATCCATCCCTGCCCGGCCACGGCTGGCAGCAGGGCTCAGCCCCACTGCTGCGGGCAGAGCCTCCTCCCGCCAGGGAGAAAGCCAGCGGGAGGGACAGCAAACCCTGCCTGAAACGTTTTCCAGACTTTGTCCCTTTCATATTGATCTGATTAATGTTAACATGAGTTTAAAGACCCAGGCTTTATTTATTAACAGTCTTCATTTCCGATAAGCCCGCTGAGGTGCAATCTCTCATTACCAGGGGAGGCTTGCCAGCTCCTTTAGCAGCACGTACAGAAAGAAACCCAGGGAAGACCTGCAAGGGCTCGGTAGGCTTCAGAGGAAATAAATCCAAACGCAAAACCAGATTTACTCCTGTAGGCCAGGAATCAAGAGCTTTACACTGCACCCAACAGCATGTTCTGCTCTCTTTCGGATTCTCCATCAGTGGAAGAGTGTGTGTCAGGGGTACAGATTTTCCTAGATCTGCCCTTTTTCTGTATTAATTATGAAGTGTAGGGATTTAACTCGCACGAAGAAAATACTGTCTTGCATTTCAACGGCATGAGGAGTCTGACCGAGGCTGACTTGGAGACCAGGCTGAATTGCTGTCCTGGGCTTCGGTGGTTGCAAGGAAACGCCAGCTTACTGAGGCGGCAGGGCTGGCTCCATCGCGGAGCTGAGGAAACTCGCTGCTGATTGAACCATGGCGAGTTTTATGGGCCCTTAAAACCTGTCTTATCGCAGAGGTCTGGCGTCTCCTGGCCACGTGCTGCTGCATGGGAAATCCTGGCCAAAAAGACATCGAGGGCTGCTTGGCGCGCTGCAGCCAAGAAAGATGGGGACGGACAATGGGCTCGGGCAGCACAGCAGGTATCAGAGAGGCAATTTTCACATTTTCAATTGAATTTGCAAATGTTGTGGGAATGGCCAGGGGTGAGACAGGCAGTGACGGGGAGCCCACAAGGTGGGGAGGCAGCTCAGCACCCATCTGCCGCGTGAGCAGCAAGCTCCTTCCCAAATTCCAGCGAAAAAGGTACATTTGTCTCGGATTTTTGTCAGTTTAATCCAGACCTTTCATGCCAGAGAAGATCTGCCAGCTGCTAAGGAAAAGAATAATTTATTGTCCTTATTTTAAATTTAAATGAAGAAAAAGTTTAAAAGACGGGTGTTTTAGAAATAGGGAAGGCTATGAAACGTGGCTTAAAAATTTTTAGAATTTAAAATAGCTCGTTCACATTTGCAGTCATGGCAGTCTCTTGGGTAAATACTGTATTAAGACAATTTTTTTGAAACTTTTATTACGTGGCCAATAGACCACAACGGCTCAGTTTATCCATTAAATATGTAATCATACACTTTTTCTTTACAGTGCATGTTATTTATGCATCAGAGCAGAACCAGTCCAGGAGTGCAATTATGGATATGGGACACGTGCTGCAAATGCTTATGAAAATTTGCAGGAAGAAACAGAAACCTGAGCCCTGGCTCACAGAATCCATAGAGAAGCCTCCTGCTGACAGCAACCCAACCACAGCCCTCTCTTAAAAAGCAGAGACACTGGCATTATTCCTGGACATATCTTCCCCCTGCCACCTCCAAGATATCTTAGCCCCAGAGGCCTCCTCCCAAGCAGCTGCCCATTTCTTTACATGATTAAAAATTGGTATTTTTGCTTAAAACCTTTACTAAATATTGGTGGTTTTGCCCCTCTCCCTCCCCCTCCCACGTCTCCATCTCTCCCGACCCTGGTCAGGAGGTTTTGCAGAAGGACATGTGTGACTACGGTCTCCATGTGCTGACCGCTCTCTGGAGGATCTGCTGCAGGATCTGGCCCCATCATTTGCCATTCACTAAATTTCTCACCATTTCCCTTTTTTTTTTTTAAAAAAAAATACAGTTTTGGAACAACACACCAGGTTGCCACCTCCCCATAGCCCCTGCCCATGACTCCTGATGTGCTCAGGACTGCAAAGGGTGCGCGGTGGAAATGTCATTTGTGTTCTCCAAATGTAAAATGTTAGGGGTGAAAATGAAGGCGAGCAGTTTCTGTGCAGCCCCAGCCCTTCTTCCCTGGGCCTTTGGGCTACAACGGCCTTCGCTCCAGCTGGGGAAAGGGTTAGTCCTGCTTTCTGCTGCAAGACTGTGCAGACACTGAGACACTTTAGGAGCCTTACTTGTGTACCCAAAGTAGCTAATACCCACCCCCATGAAAGACAAAAAGAAAGAGAAACCCAGGAGCAGGATTCAGAGATCATAGAATCATTAAGGTTGGAAAAGACCTGTAAGATCATCAAGTCCAACAGTCAGCCCGACACCACCATGCCTGCTAAACCATGTCCTGAAGTGCCACATCCACACGTTTTTTGAACCCCTCCAGGGATGGGGACTCAACCACTGCCCTGGGCAGCCTGGTCCAAGGCCTGACCACTCTTCCAGTAAAGACATTTTTCCTAGTATTCAATCTAAACCTCCCCTGACGCAACTTGAGGTCATTTCTTCTTGTCTTATCACTAGTTACTTGGGAGAAGAGACCAACCTCCGCCTCACTACACCCTCCTGTCAGGAGTTGTAGAGAGCGAGAAGGTCTCCCCTCAGCCTCTCTTCTCCAGACTGAACAGCCCCAGCTCCCTCAGCCGCTACTCACAGGCCT